GGCTCGATGAGACTCTGCATCGATTACCGTCAATTGAACAAAGTCACAATCAAAAATCGATATCCTTTACCTCGTATCGATGACTTATTTGATCAGCTTAGAGGATCTACTGTATTCTCTAAGATTGACTTACGGTCAGGATACCATCAAATCCCTGTAAAGAAAGAGGACATCCCAAAGACTGCGTTCCGTACTCGTTATGGTCATTATGAGTTTACGGTAATGCCCTTTGGTTTGACCAATGCTCCAGCAGTATTCATGGATCTCATGAATAGTGTATTCCGACCTTATCTTGATCAATTCGTGGTTGTATTCATCGATGATATTCTTGTCTATTCGAAGAATCGAGAAGACCATGCGAAACATTTGGAGATAGTACTCAGCATACTACGGGAACATAAACTATATGCCAAACTGTCAAAGTGTGAATTTTGGCTTAATGAAGTTACGTTTTTGGGACATGTGATTTCTCAAGAAGGTGTTAAGGTAGACCCCAGTAAAATATCTGCCATCACCGAGTGGAAGGTTCCAAGGAATGTTCGTGAAGTGAGAAGCTTTCTTGGATTAGCTGGATACTATCGACGATTCGTTGAAGGCTTTTCCTCGATCGCAACTCCACTTAACAAACTTCTGAGAAAAGATGTGAAATTTGTATGGACCGATGCATGTCAGCAAAGCTTTGAGAAACTAAAGAAATGTCTGACAGAAGCACCTGTGCTGACCCAACCAGTACCAGGTGTAGACTACACAATCTTTAGTGACGCATCTCATAATGGCTTGGGATGTGTACTCATGCAAGACGGAAAAGTCGTGGCATACGCATCAAGACAGTTGAAACCTCACGAATGTAACTATCCTACTCACGATCTTGAGTTAGCAGCAATTGTATTTGCTTTGAAAATATGGCGTCATTATCTCTTTGGAGAGACGACGTATATTCACACAGACCACAAAAGTCTAAAATACCTGCTAACTCAAAAAGAATTGAACCTGAGACAGAGAAGATGGTTGGAATTGATCAAAGACTACGACTGCTACATTGACTATCACCCTGGCAAGGCTAACGTAGTTGCTGACGCATTGAGCCGAAAAATGATAGCCGAACTCCGAGTTCAACCTACTCTTGAGAACGAAATTCATGCTGCACAAAAACGTGATGACTACTGTTTGAAGACTTGTGAACTTATCTCTAAGGGGGAGAGACAAGATTTCACAGTAAATAATGGAATTTTATTCTACCGGAATTGCTTGGTAGTTCCTAGTGGCGAAGTGAGGGAACGTTTAATGCGTGAATCTCACGAAACCACTTATACCATGCATCCTGGTAGTAATAAAATGTTCCAAGATCTGAAGAAGACATATTGATGGCCCACAATGAAGCGGGAAATTTCTGAATTTACAACACGATGTCTGACGTGTCAACAAGTCAAGGCTGAACACCAAGTGCCTAGTGTGTTGTTACATCCACCTACTATCCCTAAATGGAAGTGGGAACGAATTACGATGGACTTTGTGATTGGACTTCCATTATCAGCTAAGAAAAATGACGCTGTCTGGTAATTGTTGATCGATTAACCAAGTCATCTCATTTTATTCCTATTCGACGCGATATGTCCTTGAAGAAGTTAGCAGAGTTGTACATCCATGAGATTGTAAGATTACATGGTGTACCTTTGTCTATCATTTCTGATCGTGACCCGCGATTCACGTCGCAATTCTGGAAGAGTTTGCAGAAAGCCTTAGGTACTAAACTTAACTTTAGTACGGCATTTCATCCTCAAACTAACGGACAATCTGAAAGGACAATTCAAATTCTTGAAGATATGATGAGAGCATGCGTAATTAATTTTGGAAGCAACTGGGAACAATACTTACCGCTAATGGAGTTCGCGTATAACAACAGTTATCAAGCGAGTATCCAAATGGCCCCGTACGAAGCCTTATATGGGAGACGCTGTAGAACCCCACTATGCTGGACAGAATTAAGCGAGCAAAAGCTTGAAGGACCTGATCTCGTTCGCGAAACTGAAGAGAAGGTTTGTCTAATCAGAGAAAGACTGCGGGTGGCTTCCGATCGACAGAAATCTTATGCCCACTTAAAACGTCGGGAGATCGAATATGATGTTGATGACAAGGTGTTTCTGAAAGTCTCACCGTGGAAGAAAGTGCTACGTTTCGGTAGGAAGGGAAAACTAAGTCCGAGATATATTGGACCCTATCGAATCACTGAACGTGTGGGTCCAGTAGCATATCGGTTAGAACTTCCACCAGAATTGAACAAGATCCATGACGTACTCCATGTATCGATGTTGAAAAGATACCGTTCCGATCCATCACATATCTTGACTGAGGGAATTGTAACTCTTGACGAACAATTGACTTATGAAGAGGAACCTGTACAAATTTTAGCACGAGAGGTCAAACAATTGAGAAACAAATCTGTACCCTTAGTCAAAGTGCTATGGAGGAATCACTCAACTGAAGAGGCAACATGGGAAACCGAAGACTCAGGTAATTTCGAGGACGAAATTATTTTAAGGGGGAGAGAAATGTAACGCCCCAAAAATAGGCCTATCAGAGTTAATTAATTTATAATTAATTAATTACTGAGAAGGACCCAAAAATAAGTAAATTCTAAAGTTTGTCAATAAATAATGAAAATCATATCATTATGTAGAGTTTGACTATCTGACCCCAACGGTTCAATCGGATTTCAATTTGGAGAAAGTTGGAACAAAAAGTGTACCCCAACTGGGACCAAAATTAGTCCCAATCAGGGACTACACACCAAACGGCGCCCTGTTCAATTACGCCGATTCCAAATCGTCGCTTAATCACGGAAGCTGCAACCCATGTCTTCTTCCTTCCTCACTTGGCTATTTAAGGACAACCCAACTCCCTCATTTCATCACCAAAACAACTCATTCTTCCTTCTATATTGTTCCTTGCTGAGAGTAGAGTGCAGTGGTGTTGTCATCTTTGTGTGAGGTCGCCGGAGCAGTGAGATAGAGTCGCCGGAAGTTTTGCCGGAAAATCTTCAAAACCTCCATTACACTTCGAGGTAAGCCTGTAGATGTATCTAATGACTAGAATGTTCATATAGGTTGTTTTTACGTTCATAAATGGTCGTTTGGTTGAGTTTTGTGTTTGACATGTTTGAAGAACCAAGAATCATAAACCTTGAATTTGATGTTAGAAATATGTTTTAATGATTCTAAAATGATCTATGAACCTTGGAGAACATTTCTATATAGTTTAATTGAAGTTTGGTAACTAAAATTGATATGTCCGAAAATGGACCGAAGGTAGAAGACGATGAACAGTGGCCGAAAATCGATTATTTACTTACTAAAAATCGATTAGAATTTTATTCAGATTAGTGGTTCGAAGTCAGTACCATTTAATCGATTATTTAAATTGTAAAAATCGATTATTATGAATTAATTGATTATTTAAATTTAAAAATCAATTATTATGAATTAATTGATTATTTAAATTGTAAAAATCGATTATTATGAATTAGTTGATTATTTAAGTTGTAAAAATCGATTATTATGAATTAATTGATTATTTAAATTGTAAAAATCGATTATTATGAATTAATTGATTATTTAAATTGTAAAAATCGATTATTATGAATTAATGGATTAATTAAATTGTAAAAATCGATTATTGGATTATTTAAATTGTAAAAATCGATTTTTTATGAATTAATCGATTATTTATAGTGGAAAAATCAATTATAATGAATTTATTGATTATTAAATTGTAAAAATCGATTATAATGAATTAATTGATTATTTAAATTGTAAAAATTAATTATTATGAATTAATGGA